ATTCGTGTAAATAAGAAAATAGAATACGTCAGTCTTTGTCATGCAATCTTTGTTAGTTTTTTTGGTTATTTGTGCAGACTAACGTATTTTATTTCTTAAAAAAATGTTTTGTAACTAACTGTTATTGTACTAAAACTAGGATGATTTATTTTTTTTCGAAATACCAAATGAATTCGATGGAATGGGAATTTGTGTGGAAGTTGCTTTGGAATGCGATTAGATAACATGCGATGGGAATTCTTTTATATAAAACTTAATTGATGCGAATTGAGTCCAATTTGTGAAAATTAACGTGGTGCCGGACCTTTGCGATGTGTGGACGTGCGTAAGGTAAGTTCAACAATCCTTGAATTTAGTAGTCGGTGATGGAGTAACGCGTCGCGGCTGTTGCATCATTTCACAATCGTCCGCATATGTACGTATATTTATAGTTAGTGTATATTTATATATCACAGATAGATAGAGCAAGTTGAATTTCGATTTGATATGTTATTGTTGTTTTACAATTTTTGTCGGTCGGATGTTGTTCTTTCAATTTTTTTTTTCTTTGTTTATATATTTTTGATTAGAGGATGGAGTAGGAGTAGCAGCGTTGCTCGCTATGTCTCTTGCGATCGAACCAGATGCGCTTGGACATTTCGCTGTGGGAAAAGAGGCAGGTCCTACCTGAGCTGTTGTCGTCCAGCTGGCACTTCTCGGGAAGCTTGCCGTTCTGTTGATGGTGCTTTGGAGAAGGCGTCTCCAGGCAACGCATAAAGAAGAGAAGGCAGCAACCGAGGATGGGCGGAATACCTGCGAGCCGGAAGGCCAGATCGTAGCTGGAGGTGTGATCGTACATGATGCCTGCAATGTAGGGACCGAGGGTTAATGGTATCGAGCACAGCCCGAGCAGCATTCCGATGGCTTGCGTAGCGCCCTTCTGGCCGCACAGATCGAAAGCGATCGGTCCCAGCATCGAGATGAAGCAACCGTCAAAGAGTCCCAGCAGGAGCGTCATGAAGATCAGCGTTGGGAAGGAGCCTTTCGTCGAGGGCAGAGCTATCGAAACGCCACCGATGACCAGCAGCGAGGCCTGCTGCATCAGGATCCTGTTGACCTTGGGCAAATCGGATATGTAGCCGAACACTAATCGCCCGATGCCCGACGTTATCCCGATGCAGATGACCGGCCATTTTCCGTCCTCCCCGCTGGAGAAGTTCTCCTTGACGAATTTCAGCATGTGCACGTACGGCACGAAGTAGCCGAACAGCGACAGCGGCAAGACTATGCTCCAAAACAGATACCTCTTGTTCCTGAATATGTCCAAGTTGACGATACTCTTCAGCTCGATCTTCGTCTGTTTCTTCTTCTTCTGGATGGGCTTGAAGAAGGTCGCCGCGCCCATGATGCCTGCCGCAAGAAGCGCGAGCAGTCGCAACGTCCAAACCATTCCCGCGCCTTTCAGCACGCCGTCGATGATGTGCGGCAGGGCCATCGTGAAGACGGAGCTGCCGGCCGTCACGACTCCGTTCACTATACCCATGTACCTCTTGTAGTAGTGACCGAGGATGGCCAATGAAGGCGTATAGGCGAGGGCGCATCCCAATCCGTACATCACGCCGTACGTTACGTACAGGGCGTACACGTTGTCCGAGCAGAACGAGGACAGCAGCATCCCACCAGAAGCTATGAATCCACCCAGGAACGTCGTCACCCGAATTCCGATAGCGTCCGTGAGCACCCCGGCCACAGGCGACACCATGAACGTCGTCCCCATAGCCAAACTTCCAACCAAAGCTAAAAAACAAAAACGCATTAATAACCAAATTATTTTTCATCTTTTATTAGAGAATCAACATTTCTCCAATATTTCTAAACAACAAACGGATGCTCTTACCATTTTCGCAGATATTACTAATTAAAACACAATCAAAAATTACGAGAACAAATTAACACCGCCGACACTAACAATCAACTAAAAAAAATACATAAAACAAATTTTGTTTTCGATTTGTTTCATCATGGAATACTTGACTAAGTTGAAACAAAAGCTCTTTTGAATTGAGACTTTCCATGTTATATGCAACCGAACTAACTTTAATTTTTGAAGTTAAATTTTGGAAAATTTCTAATTTATATAAGACAAATATTATTATTAATAATAATAATTAATCAATGCAGTTGCTCCATTTAATAACGACGACGAGTCTCAATGGATTACAATGATCAAATGCGTTTCAAAGTTGCATCAGTGTGGACTAACCTAAATGATAAAACCGTTTCCAATTTCACAGTTCAAATATATTTATGAAATTTATACATTTTTCTCAAGAATTTTGTTTTTTTTTTCAATTTTCTTCAAAAATCATGAAGAAACAAACAATAGTGTACATCTTAACCAAATAGTCGATACTAAAAATCAACAATACGAAACAAAAGATTTCGATTTGACAAATGACTTTCTTTTCTTCCGAATTTGTTTCAATTTTCTGAAGCGAAATGAAATTCAAAATAGATTTAATTTAAACACGTCTTAAATTGTGATAATTTGAAATATGTTTCGATTATCCGAAAAAGTGGCGTCGTTTCGATGCCAACTGCATCGAGCGAAAATCCCTGGATTTAAATGAATCTGACCTACATTCCGCTCGCGCGTAAATGGATGGGATGGAAGAGATTAATATATAAGAATAAAAGAGAGAAGAGGATGAAATTATGTTGCGAGATGAAAGAAAGGAATGAGAGGAGGAAAGAAAAAAAATGGATTATGAATTGTATTGAAACACGGAGGCTATTGTTTATTTATTTGCCTTTAAAGGTCGTTGACATCTGCCCGCTTGATTAAGGCGGATTTTATCAAAGAGAAAGGAAAGATGTGGATTAAGTGTGAATGAGTGAGTGAGAGAGGAAAGAGTGAAGAGAAAGACGCGGAACTGATGAATCACCAGCGAAGTGTACGCGGTTACGATGAACGGCATCTCCGTGGGCGAGAGTGAAAGTATTTTTGGCGGAGAGCGCCGCGACGCCGACCCGGGTTTAACGGACGAACGCGCGATGCGCGTTTCTATTTGCGTCGCGACGCCTCGCGAATTCCGAGCTCCGCGTCTGCGGATGGAACGTATCTTAACCTATCTCAAATCGTGCGAACGATGGGATTTCTTTTTTTAGATCCTCTGGTTATCTTAGATCATGGCTTCAGGGCGAAAGAAACTGGAGCAACCTTCGAATCAATTTACTATTAGTTATTTTTCCATTTAGCAGAAGAAGTGCACATAGACATAAAATATCTGAGAGAAGAGATGGTCAACGGAGAGAAAGAAAGAAAGAATGAAAGAGAGATCCAAGTTCAAAGAACTCACGATAAGAAAAATGTATATTTAGATGTGCATCGGTCAAATATTGAATCGACCAAACAAATATGAATTATCACTTATTCACTCGCTCATAAATCAAACCTATTAACCGAAATTTCATACACCATGATTGATGATTTATATTAACAACAACAACAACAATAAAATTACATAATCAAAATCCGTAAATTACACTTTCATATCATAATAATTATTTATGGTGGAGGAATCGGGTAATGTCTGTAAACAAATTATTTAAAGATCTGAATTTCCAGTAAAACCAATTAAAAGCAAACGCGTAAATTCTCGAGAAAATAATCAAAAATCCAAAATAGATTTAGCAATGTCTTGAAAACAATAAAAATAATAAACAATTGCGCAACAAATGCAATCGTGTCCTCACTTCATTTGCATTCGCGACAAATGGAAAAACAATATAAAATATTCGAGTCGATGAACAGGAAAAGTTAATTCAGGTTATTTTTTGTTTCTTTCTTTTGTTTTCGTCTAATTGCGAACGTCGATCGCCGCTGCGCGGTCGGCGGCTTTCTGTAATTCAAAACTCAATTGGGTTTAATTAAACGCACACAAAAAAACGGCACAAATAAATTAAACGAATAATGAATATTCTAATTGCGACGCGTAATTGGAATCAACTCGTTTACGTAATTGAGTCTCCTAAGTCCCGATTCGGATAGTTGGAACAGATTTCGACGCGACCGTGGTTTAAAGGCGTCCTTAGCAACGATAGAGCGTCCGTAGCAACGATTAAGCGTCTCTAGCAACTAAGAAGCGTCCTTAGCAACTAAGAAGCGTCCCTAGCAACTAAGAAGCGTCCTTAGCAACTAAGAAGCGTCCCTAGCAACTAAGAAGCGTCCTTAGCAAATAAAAGAACTTATTAGAAGCGATAATCAAAATGTAATTATTGATACATAATATTGTTTTTGAAAAAACGCGGTTAAAATACGAAGTTCATTAGTTTTCAAACAATCTATTGTTACGCAAGGTCCGACTATCAGTTCATTTTCCAAATTAGAATATGTAAAATTCGACAATTAAAATTTAATTGTAAATACAGAAATAATTTCATTCAGATTAGAATAGGCAATTATACTAAAAATTTACCAATTGTAATTGCAATTCCAGTACATTTTCCTTTTTCTTTCACATTCGCACAACCATAAATATACAATTTATCGTCGAATGATTGATAATAATAATATAAAAAAAACGCTCATGGAAGCAATTCCGCTGTTATCTGGATTACATATTTGCTTACTCGCAATAGGAGGAACGTGAAGTGAATAAAATATACACATAAATTCACTTTAGATTCATTGAAATGAATACTATAATTATTATTGTATAATTATTATTTGTTACCAACTTCCTCTGTCATTTTATCTAATTCTCTTATTGTGGTCTTCAACTTACCACAAGAATAAATACATAAATAATAATAGCATTTCTTAAATTCTTGTATATTTGAATAGAAAATTCTATCAATTCTTAACTCTGACTGTTTTTTCACGAAAATAATAGTCATAATACAGTCGAAACAAAATGATGTTAATCGCGTTTTACCATTTCCATATTCAGGTCAGAGTTTCCATAAATCTATTGTGTTTCTATGGTAATAAAACAATATGTAAATCTGACGAAATGTGTCAAATTTTCCAATTACTTCAAATAATAACTGCTTAATTAGCATTTTTAATCAAATTTACTTGATTACAACCATATTTTTCTACTCATTTACATGCAATCACCGTAATTGCATTTGAGTCCGAAAAAAAGATAAGTTAATTAGTTAATTTAATTAATGAGTTTTTTTTTTCACAAATTAGCTAATGATTAGTTATCATTACAATTCATGTTAATAATAAAATATGGATAACGAAGCACTATTTTCCTGCATGTTAAAGTATTTTGTTTCCATGGTAATTCAATATGTTTGGAAAGATGTAAATTTGTAGGTTTTCCGTTTGAGATCGATGATCTGAATATTAAGGCCAAATCAATTTCGAGTCTAGTAAATCTAGGCACGATGATGACGGTGGAATTCTTACAATTCGGTTTTAAAAATTGATATGGGCGTAACGAGAGTGCGGTCGTTTGTTTGGTTACCGTTGCCTGGTAACCGGTGGATGGTTGAATGTGCATAAAGTTGTTTACTCGGACGTTACCCACGGTCTTGGGTTACGATTGTAAATTTAAAGTTTCTATAATTAATTGTTGTTGTTTTTTTTATTGTTGTACCTGCTTTGCTGGAGGCATCGGTGACGTTCTGCGCGTTCAGATTCTCGTAGATCTCGTTGTAGAGTACGCTGTAGGTGTTGATGACTCCGAAGAGGATGCCGTTGCAGAAGAATGAGCCGAACATGACGAGGAGGGCGCGAGTGCCTCCATCCGGAGGCGGTACATCTTGGTCATCGTCTTCGAAGCGCTCCTTCGCTTTGTTACCATTGGTGGTCACCTGGTGCTTCTGACCGTTAGTCTTCAGGAAACTCTCGTTCACTTCCACGTCCATCTCTTCTGCTGCTGCTGTTGTCTTGACTACTGTTTTGTTTGGTTGGTTGTTTGATGATGACTCTTAGCCTCAGTCGATTTTGGACATGACTTTAATGGTCGGCGTTCGCAGCACGTGTGCGCCTCAGTCCCCCCGGGCTCCTTAAGTTACAGCGACCAGACGGAAATCGGCGACGGCACACGACCAGCCGACAATAAACAAGCACGACCTGCAGTTCCTGCTGTCCATGTTCCGCCGATTCCTGCTTCATTTTCGGCCCATCATCCACGCGGCGCAGTCGTCATCGTCAACGCCGCCTCCGTCAACTTTCCACTTGCACTTCCGCATCGGAACTGACGATTCAAGTTCAAGTTCGAGCACGGTGGAGCTTGCGTAACCCTAATGCGCGCACTCCAATCAATAAAGGACACGGCCTTGCCTTGACCCCCCCCCCCCTCAACACCTAAGTTCTACTCTTATCCCATTGCTACCTGCTCCATCAAAACTCTCAGGTGTTCCTATTCACAGAATCTTTAACAAGAACTTACATAAAGACTTAATTCCAATACTTACTTTCAAAAATACAACAGTCCATCGACTTCTGTCAGTTTGACGTTTATATATCATGTCATAAAAGAAACGTTACTATTTTATTTTAGCTTTTATTAAAATTTTAGTATTTCCAACTGTCATATTTTTAACAATAATATATGTAATTATAAACTTTAATTTACAATTTAACACGTAACTGTCAATTTGACGTTCATTAAAACCATTTTGTTTTAACGCCATTTTTTTATATTAGAATACTTAAGCATTTTTCCTATTACTTAACTTCCCGCACAGTAATTAGAATAGAAGCGATTGACTAGTTTTGACCATTTTATGCAACAATATAAATAATAGTGCCACTTAACTGTCTCTAACAATTCATAATTCAACTGTCAAATTTGACGTTTATAGTATGGAAGTGTCATAAATAAATTGTCACCATTTTGTTTTAACGCCATTTTTGTTTTATTAGATTCCTATTGCTGTTTCATAATTAACTTCTCCTACAGTAATTAGAGCTAAAGCGATTGATTTAAGTATTTGTAATTGACTTATTTTGAACACTTTACGCAACAATATAATTAATAGTGCTACTTAACTTTCTATAACAATTCATAATCCAACTGTCAAATTTGACGTTTATAGTATAGAAGTGTCATAAATAAATCGTCACCATTTTGTTTTAACGCCATTTTTGTTGTATTAGAATACTATTGCTGTTTCATAATCAACTTCTCCTACAGTAATTAGAGTTAAAGCGATTGATTTAAGTAAATTGACTTATTTTGAACACTTTACGCAACAATATAATTGATAGTGCTGCTTAACTTTCTATAACAATTCATAATGTAACTGTCAAATTTGACGTTTATAGTATGGAAGTGTCATAAATAAATCGTCACCATTTTGTTTTAACGCCATTTTTGTTGTATTAGATTCCTATTGCTGTTTCATAATCAACTTCTCCTACAGTAATTAGAGTTAAAGCGATTGATTTAAGTAAATTGACTTATTTTGAACACTTTACGCAACAATATAATTGATAGTGCTGCTTAACTTTCTATAACAATTCATAATGCAACTGTCAAATTTGACGTTTATAGTATGGAAGGTGTCATAAATAAATAGTCATAATTTTGTTTTAAAGCCATTTTTGTTGTATTAGAATACTATTGCTGTTTCATAATTAAACTTCTCCTACAGTAATTAGAGTTAAAGCGATTGATTTAAGTAAATTGACTTATTTTGAACACTTTACGCAACAATATAATTGATAGTGCTGCTTAACTTTCTATAACAATTCATAATTCAACTGTCAAATTTGACGTTTATAGTATGAAAGTGTCATAAATAAATCGTCACCATTTTGTTTTAACGCCATTTTTGTTGTATTAGAATACTATTGTTGTTTCATAATTAACTTCTCCTACAGTAATTAGAGTTAAAGCCATTGATTTAAGTATTTGTAATTGACTTATTTTGAACACTTTACGCAACAATATAATTAATAGTTTTACTTAACTTTCTATAAAAATTCATAATTCAAATGTTAATTTGACGTTTATTGTATGGAAGTGTCATAAATAAATCGTCACCATTTTGTTTTAACGCCATTTTTGTTGTATTAGAATACTATTGCTGTTTCATAATTAAGTTCTCCTACTGTAATTAGAGTTAAAGCCATTGATTTAATTATTTGTAATTGACTAATTTTGAACACTTTACGCAACAATATAATTAATAGTGTTACTTAACTTTCTATAACAATTCATAATGCAACTGTCAAATTTGACGTTTATAGTATGGAAGTGTCATAAATAAATCGTCACCATTTTGTTTTGATGCCATTTTGTTGTATTAGAATACTATTGCTGTTTCATAATTAACTTCTCCTACAGTAATTAGAGCTAAAGCTATTGATTTAAGTAAATTGACTTATATAATTAATAGTGCTACTTAACTTTCTATAACAATTCATAATGCAACTGTCAAATTTGACATTTATTGAATGGAAGTGTCATAAATAAATCGTCATCATTTTGTTTTCACGCCATTTTTGTTGTATTAGAATACAATTGCTGTTTCATAATTAACTTCTCCTACAGTAATTAGAGCTAAAGCGATTGAATTAAGTATTTGTAATTGACTTATCTTGACCACTTTATGCAACAATATAATTGATAGTGCTACTTAACATTCTATAACAATTCATAATGCAACTGTCAAATTTGACGTTTATAGTATGGAAGTGTCATAAATAAATCGTCACAATTTTGTTGTATTAGAATACTATTGCTGTTTCATAATTAACTTCTCCCACAGTAATTAGAGCTAAAGCCATTGATTTAAGTATTTGTAATTGACTTATTTTGCGCACTTTACGCAACAATACAATAAAAAACAGTGCTACTTAACTTTCTATAACAATACATAATGCAACTGTCAATTTGACATTTACTGAATGGAAGTGTCATAAAATACGTGTTGTTAACATGTAAAAAGATGAGTAATTTTGCAATCAGTACTAAGTGCGTTGCAAACAGATTTGTTTTGCAATTTAATGTTTGTTATTAAGTATTTTTTTTTGTAATTGTAGCTGCAGCTGTGGCGCATTAAACTTCTTAGTTGTAATTGAATTTGAGATTAGACTGAGCGGTGGTATCGAGACATATTTAGTAAACACAAATAGGATAAAGCGTACGAACGCTATTGCAGATAACGCAGGCATTTTTAGTCGGTGACGTTTTGCCTTTTGGAACTTTAGTCCATCCACAAGACATCCAACAGTCACGATTCGTTTTTAGATCAATACATTTTTTCTTTTTTTTTCAATACTAAAACTGAAAAGTTTTCCATTAAACGCGCGATAAAAACGCAGTAATAAATTAACGAGACTCGTCCTTCAATCCTGATAATTAACATACAAAATTGATAATTGCACACGCATTTGATCCATTTTTCGATTATAAATATCCTGGATATTTATAATCGTGTGTGTATGTGTTTTTTTTTTATTATTATTTCTTGTACATCTCCGCGCTCCACTGGTTTCGTTTTCGATTCAGATTTTATGATTTATGAGCTGCATTGGGCCAAGGCTCAATCCGCGCGCTGATAAACATGATTGTTGCAATCCGCTCGACGCGCTCGCACTTTTATTAGCATGAATACGCTTGTTCCTGTGTCCCCAAAATAATACTTTTGCGAAGAAAAAAAAAAACAAACAAACAACGAAATAACGGTAAACATATTTGTGCGCAAAGTGCAAGCACCTCTTTATTTCTATAAATACAGCATACAGTTTATTGCATTTGTCCCAGCGAAGAAAATAATAACATACAAATACATTGAATCAAATATAGATTTTGTTTTTATCTTAAAGTCAAATCCATCTCTAATAAGTTACAGATCACTTGATCCAAAACGAATAAATATTTTCGATGCGATAGTCCAAGATTATTCTGCAAAAAGAAATGGTTTTATTCGATAACAAAATTCGCAATTTCTTTCCTTTTTTATTAATTTAAATTAATAATTTCAACTTGTTAATAGTTTATTTAATACTTATAATTTAATTATCTGACTTAAATACTACTAGATTCTTTGCGTTGTAGTTTTTAAGCCTATGAATAAGCAATTAATTAATTAATTAATTAAACTACTAATTGGATTATTTTTAAAATATTTGGAAACTTCAATTTTCCTCTAGTTTCGTACACGGATGATGGTTTGGTTGCCTATACACACCATGAGAACTTTCTCTTTTGACGTTACTGACGTACACGGTTGTCAGACGAGGGTATTTTGATTTTTGGTGATCCCCATATGTTTTAAACTGTTGTACAGCAAAATGACCGATTGGGACGAAGTGAAACGTTTGGCAGCAGATTTCCAGAAGGTGCAGCTAAGCTCGACCACCCAAAAGTGAGTTTACACTAATTTTATTGTTATAGCATTAACAGATTTGTTTCAATTTTGTCTCTTGCAGATTGTCAGAGAGGAATTGCATTGAGATTGTATCATGGCTCATCCAGAAGAAGATGCTGGATCTGATCTTCACCAGCGATGGCAAAGAGTACATGACACCCTCGCAGCTGGTGAGCGACATCAAAGGTGAACTGTATGTAAGCGGAGGTCGAGTGAATCTTGTGGATGTTGCAAAAGCGATAGGTGTTGATCTGGTGCATGTTAACACTTATGTATCCGAAGTGACACATAGTATGAAAGATGTGACCTGCATCATGGGTCAACTGATTGATGCCTCTTATGTGACGAGGATTGCTGGGGAAATTAACGAGAAGTTATCTCAGCAAGGACAGATCAACATAAACGAATTGACCTTGCACTACGATTTGCCGTCTGATTTCCTGCAGAACACGGTTGTTGAGAAGAATTTGGGTAAATTGATATTCGGTAGACAGGATAGGAACGATCCGAGGTTGTACTTTACCGAATCTTTCGTTGCCAGTGCTAAAGCGAAGATCCGGGGTGCTTTGTATGGATTGACGAAGCCAACGTCGGCAACGGTTATTGCGAATAATGCGGATGTAAGTGAAGATTTGTTCTTCACGTTGTTCGATTCCAATTTGGGTTCGTTGACGAGTAAACAAGCTGGGGCGCAATACGTTCCACACATTCACTCGAGATCGCAGAACGAATGGGTGCAGAGTTTTTACAAGCAGAACGGTTATTTGGAGTTCGACTCTTTGACTCGTTTAGGCGTTGTTGACAACAAGGCTTTCCTGGCTAAAGCCAATTTGGGAGAGGTGATCCATCTGAATACGTGCGTCGTGTCGAAATCGATTTTGCAACGATTGGAAGGAGACATCGACGAGATGATCAATAGTAAATCGTATTTGGATCTTCCGGCTAATTTGCCTACGGTTTTCAACGATCAAGATATCAAAATGATCGTCGACAAAGTGTTGAGCGCCAGCAAACAGAAGGAAACTGTTGTAGTAGAAGGTTTCATCTTGAGCAAAGCGTTCATCGACAGTTTGGCCAAAGATTGCGAAACGGTTTTGAGTGATAAAGTAAAAAGTGTAGTGGAGAGCGGTAAATACCAGCAATATCAAACGGATCTTCAGGTGAAAAATAATCCGAGATCTGAGGTGGAGGAAGTCAAGGTTGATAAACGAGAGGAGAGGAGGAAGAAGGCGGCTGGTGGCAATAAGGGAGGAGGAACGCAGGGTAATTTATTTTTTTTCTGCTTCTAGAATTGAAAGATGAATTGATGAAATTGTTGCTTTTGTTTAGGTAGAGAAACGAAAACTAAATCAACGAAAAAGGGTGGAGCCAAGGCTCGTGTCATCTCGGAAAGCGATGAAGGTGAAGTCGAGAAGAAATCTTTGGACATCTTGAGCGTAGACGAAATTTCCAACGTAATTCGAGTCGTCTTAGAGGCGGAGGGTTTGGACGAGCTCGTTGATCCTTTGGGGCAATATTTGCATCCGATCTTGAACGAGAAGGGTTTGCAGCAAGCGTCGCAACTGTATGCAACCACAGTCGCTGATCGTACAGCCAATCGGAGACAGACGCACAACGAGATCCAAACGAAGCTGAACAATCTCGTCGGAGATGTTCGGCTCTTCGAGAAAGGCATCAAACTTTTACCCGTAGACAGTCAACCGCAATTCCATAAGTATTTGCTGAAGAGCTTATGCACCGACTTCGTCAGCGAAATTCTCAACTACATCTCTTCGGAGGAGGGCACGAACGTCTGCACGGACAACTTCAACAACGACCAACGGCTCAAGTTCATCAACGATCTGAGCGCCGATTACAAAGTTCCGTTGACCGCTTTGATCAAAACGCTTTCTGCGGCGACCATCGACGATTGGATGGAGGGCGTCGACGCAGCTTTATCCAGTTGCAGCATGGTGCTGAAGAAGGTCGACAAGAAGAAGGATCGCGTCCAGGTGTTGAACCACAAGCACGCGCTTTTGGAGCAGCTCGAGAAGTGCGAGGATTACGCGCTGGCGTTGCATCTCGCTACGCTCATCATCTTTATATCGGCGACGCAGTGCATGATCCACGCAAGCGGAAGACACGTATCCAATCTTCTTGTCTTTTTGAAGCAGTTCCTATCCTCCGAACAGATCGTCGAGTTGACAACATATCATGGTAACTGATTACAATCGTTGTCATGGTTTGTTTATTTTAATTGTTTGTTTTTTTTTGGTAGACATGGTGACGATGCTTCTGAGCGGAGGAAGCGACATCGAAACGGCGAAAGAGCGTCTCGCCGAGAAGATGCCGACCATCAAGCAGATCGCCAACGAGTACAAGAAGTCCGGAGCAAACAGCGAGAAGAGTTAAAAGCCAAACTTCCATGAAATACATCGGTTATTGGTTATTGTTAAATTACTTTTAAACGAATAAATTAACAATTTTCTTCGTTATTATTTTACATTCATTCAACCCATCCAAACTATAAGAGCAATAATAAATAAACTCAAAATAAGACTAATTTAATTTCAAAATGATCTAAATTCCACTGCGTGTGAAAGCGTTTTGCAGGAAGGACACATCATTAGTTAACGTGCATAGTTTGCATGCTGCCAAAATCATTACCTGACGTTTTATAAAAATAAACTTCGGACACGCTCCATCACCTGCCAATGTTCTGCAATCTTCTGACAAACATAAACCAGTTCAATGTTGAAACGAGCTATTTCCGTGCGAACAAAGAAGTACCATTGTCGAGTCAATTAGTAAAATTTAAACATAACATTTCGCTGGTCTAAATGTGTTGTTTTAACCATTACCCCAAAATATTATTGCGTAAGTCGATTTATTGAATTAATTTGCATTTACATATTTATAAATAAAAGTTACATGAAAATAGTAACAAATAGTAATAGACAAACA